AGAGATGAGGTCTCGCCAAGTTGCCCAGGCGGGTCTTAAACCCTCAGGCTCAGGCAATCCACTCACCTCAGTCTCCCAAAGCGCAGGATTACAGGCTGAGCCACCTTGTGTGGTAAGTAAATCCCATGCTCCCACTCCCCAATTGAGACCATAAGGATCACTCCCAGGCCTTCCTTGTTCTCCGTCTTGATCTCTGACACCCAGTATAGGTATTTTCCAGGAACTGAATACATCTTTGTTCAATCAATATTTCTTTATAAATAGTTGACACAATACAGAAAGTCCAGTTGACTTTCATCTGGTCTTACTCCTGCTCCTAGGATATAACCACTGTCATCAGTATATCTTTCCAACAATTTTCTAGACATTGTTTTTATTATTTTTTTTGACTTGGGGTATCTCTGTGACCTAGCCTGGAGGGCAATGGCATGCTCTCGGTCACCGCAGCCTGGATCTGCTGGGCTCAGGCGATCTTTCTGCCTCAGCCTTCCAAGTAGCCGGAACTACAGGCATGCACTACCACGCCCGGCTAAGTGTTTTGATTTATTGTAGAGATGAGGTCTCGCCAAATTGCCCAGGTTGGTCTTTAACTCCTGGGCTCAAGCAATCCTCTTGCCTCGGCCTTCCAAAGTGCTAGCACAGGCTTGAGCCACAGTGCCCGGCCTGAACAACCTCTTTAAAATATCAAGTAAGCATGTCATCCTCTCCTTAAAATCTTAGTAGCTTCCCATTCTTTTGGGGTAAAGTCCAAAATCCTTTACATATCTTATAAGACCCTGCATCACCTGGTCCTTGCCTGGCTCTCCTGACTCAATCCCCACTACCCTTGTCTCCTTTCCTCGCCCCAGTTATTTCTCTTAAAACAATCTTAAAATTGGGCATGGCTATCACTAAGAAGGTAGAGATGTGGTCAAGAGTTTTAAGGAATTCGGTTTTCAGATGCTCAACTTTCCTAAAACAGACATTCCTGAGAAGATTCTTGGAGTCCAGGCTCTTCCCACCCCATAATCCAAATCTTACTATGTTGTATGGAGCTACTCAGAGGTAGAAAGGCATAATGACCTTGAGGATGCCAAGGGATAATCTGACAATTTCTTTTAATTAAGACACCATTAAGAGATGCATTTTTAAAACTGCATTTCGCTAACAATAATCATAGATCAATCCAGAAGAGAATTTCACTCTTTGAACCCTAATGATATAGTCTGATCAATAAAAGACTTTGAATCATAAAAGCATATTCCATTAAGATAGAATTCTGTGGTAGATGTGGAATAAAAGTATGTGTTCAAGGAGAAAAATGATCAATGTAAAATTTCCAACTGGTCAAGTCTTAAGTATTTTTAAAATGAATGATAGTGGATATTAAATCACAATAGTATTTATAACCCACTGGGTCCATTTAAAGACTTCTGTAGTCACTTATACTTCTTTCTTTCTCCTTTTTTTTTTGAGTCAAGGTCTCCAGGCTGGAGTGCAGTGGCACGATCACAACTCACCTCTGCCTCAACCTCCTAGGCTCAGGTGATCCTTCCACCTCAGCGTCCCGAGTAGTTGGGACTACAGGTGCTTGCCACCATACCCAGCTAACTTTTTTTATTTTTTGTAGAAACAAGGTCTGGTTATGTTGCCCATGCTTGTCTCAAACTCCTGGGCTCAAGCAATCCCCTCACCTCAGCCTCTCAAAGTGCTGGGATTACAGACATGAGCCACTGCACCTGAAAGTAATCACCTATATTTCAAAATATCATTTATAACTCATTAGAATGTACTTCTTTTGTAATTACTTAGATTTATGCTAAAAAATTAAAAATCAACTTTTAAGAGTGTGTGAGGGGAATACACAGCATGTTTTCAGGGGGCATCTAAATAAATTAAACAAACGAGTGTGGCCATTTCAGAGTGTGAGTACACAGTGCTCTCAGCTCCAGGTCTTTGAACCTGCTACTCTTCCCTGGAAGGCTGGGGCCTCAGAAACTCTCTTGAGCTTCACTCTAACATCACTTCCCCTGAAAAGTTTCTCTGTATCCAGATTAAACTAGATATCCTTGGTATGTGTTTCTATAGCATCACGATTTCCCCTTTTTATCCACGTGTAACTGCATGTTAAATGTGGCACCAGGAAGGCATACACAGAACGAGCCTTTCACTGTCCCATACCTGCACTTAGCAGGCTATGCAGAGGAGATGGTCAGTTGAGCTCCTTGAGATAGCACTCCAGTGGCATGGTGGAATAGGTAAGTAGACTGCAAGGAGTCAACAAAAGCACAAGGTAAGGAAGCAGCAGAAGGTGTGAGCTGATGACCAATGAAGGGGTTGGAAGGAAAAGGAGAAAACTGCACAACAGAGGGGGTAGTGGGAGAAAGGGAGGGTGAATCTGTGACTGTCCACAGGAAGAGAGGACCCCAAAGAGACAGGAGAATAACCAGGCAGTCAGGGGCTAGGTGTGAAGATAAGTAGGAGACAACAGAAACTTAAGCTCCCAGTATCTCCATGCCAGAACATCGCACAAAAGTTTACAACTTGGTGAGGAAGGAATCTGGGGTGATTCTCAGAAAGTAACATACTGACATATATGTGCCTATTTACTGACTTTACAAGTACGGATCCTAATGTGAATACAGAAGCCTCTGCCTCTCTCTCTCTCTCTATATATATATATTTATATATGGGGTGTAGTGCATGATCATAGCTCACAGCAGCCTCAAACTGCTGGGCTCAGGTGATACTCCTGCTTCAGCCTCCTGAGGCCTACAGGTGTCCACCACCATGGCCAGCTAATTTTTTTATTTTTAGTAAAGCCAGAGTCTGGCTATCTTGCCCAAGCTGGTGTGGAACTCCTGGCCTCAAGGCATCCTCCTTGCCTTGGCTTCCCCAAGTGTTGAGATTTTAGGCATGGGCTACTACGTCTAGCCCCTTTATACATTATTCTAATGTAGGGATGTCTAGTCTCACTTAAAGAAAGCACGAGCAGGCTGGGCACCGTGGCTCACATCTATAATCCCAGTACTTTGGGAAGCCGAGGTGAGAGGATTACCTGAGCCCAAGGGTTCGAGACCAGCCTGGACAACTTGGAGAGACCTCATCTCTACAATAAATCAAGAAAAATTAACCAGGCATGGTGGCACATGCCTGTAGTTCCAGCTACTTGGAAGGCTGAGACAGAAGGATTGCCTGAGCCCAGCATGTTGAGGCTGCAGTGGTCATGAGTCTGCCACTCCACTGCATTCCAGCCTGGGCAAGAGTGAGACTCCAAATTACAAAAAAAAAAAGCACGAGCAGCATTAGTTGTATACATTATCCATACCCACGACTTTTCCCCTCTAAAACTAAACCTAGTTCTTCTTATAGTACAGGGGAATCATTTCCACAGAAAGGGAGGAAAACCCTGTTTAAGATCTTTCTACTGTGTAATGCATTCTACTGGCACTCAAATACTTGCTACTTGAGACATCTCTATTCACCTGGCTTTGTCACCAAAGGTCACCATATACCAGTCATGTTACCTGATGTCAATCGTGAATAAGCAAAGTAGCAACCATCCTGGCCCTGATTAGAACTTTCCATTGAAATGTCTTCCTGCCTAGAGCTGCTCCATAGGCTTCCATTATGGGACGAACATTTATTTTAACTCACGTCACTTGGCATTCTTTTAAATTGCAACTATCCTTGTAAAAAATTACATATTAAACCACTTTTACCATAGCCAGGGGGGAGGAGAAGGATCCAGAAGGCCACTGGATCTGCTTTTACATCAATAAAACAGCTACCTCGCTTCCTACCTTTTTATGAAGGTCCTAAAAGTATGTATTTTATGGATGCGACATGTGCACGCAAGTACTTCGACTGTTACACACAAACAATGAGGCTCCTTCAAAAACAAACAAACAAACAAGCAAACCAGAAAAAGTCCAACAGCCAGGCTCTGGGGAAAGGACGTAAGAATGAATTAAACTGTGGAAATATCCTTGTAAAAGGTCCTTCGGCTATGCATACACGTGCAACGACCGTCCTCTTGTGATGGAGAAAAAGCGAGGCCTAATTGTGAAACCCCCAAGTGGCGAGGGAGAAAAGAGAGGTTGCAGTGCACACCGGCAGAGCGGCGAGGTGCAGACGCCCGGCTGAAGCCTCGCCGCGGGAGGAGGATGGGGGCCTCCGAGCAGCTGGCCACCTGCCGCCGCGGGGACCTGCGCATACCGACTGTCACTGCTCTGTGTCCCGGTGGAGTTCCCACAGTATGCTCGGAAACATCTGCGGAATGCACGAAGGCTCACAACTGGGGTAGCGCGGTGGCCGCGTCCCGAGTCCGGCGCGTCGCCGGCGCGGCCCAAGCCCAGGGCGTCCCGGCAGCCGGGGACCTGCAAGCAGGAGGATCGCGTTTTGGGCAGCCCGAGGGATCCTCGAACCAGCCCGCGCGCACCCCCGACCGAGAGGACAAAGTACCGCCTGGGAACCCCTGCCGGCCAGCACCCACCTTCACCCGACTTCCTTCACGCGTCCTCAGCCGGGCCCAGCTGGGGAGCATGCGCAGTGGCCAGAACCGGGCCCGGCCCCCGCGCGCCTGGGAGGACATCGCTTCAACTGTCCGCCGAACCTGACCAACCAGAAGGCGGGTTATTGCGCGGAGCCCCGCCCCTGGCTGGGGACTATGGAGACGGGCGGCCAATCGGGAAGCGCGTTGTTTCCGCGGAGCCCCGCCCCCGGCGGGGGGCTATGGTGACGGATAAGGGTCATGGGGCGTCAGCGCGGCTGAGCGGCGGGGCCCCGGAGGACCGCGGCGACCCCCTGC